ATAGGTGGATTTGAGTTCGATTCGGATCGATCTCTCTCCTCTAACCCTAAACTTTCCATTCCCGTCGCCGGTCGCCGTGGGCCTCCATCGCCGCCCCCTAGCCCCTATAAAAGTACCCCGGGACCTCCTCCGTCCGCCGCCACCCTCGCTTTAGCTCGCCGCTGCTTGTAGCGCCGCCTCCGCGACAATCCGTGCGCCGCCGTCGCCGCTGCGAGTCCAGCCGTGCGCCGCCGCCGCCGCTTCGGTCGTCGTCGTCGCTCGGGAAGGCCGCCGTCGGGATCGCCAAGTCATCACCGTCCCCGTCCCGTCCTTCGTTTCCGTCGAAGACCGCCGGAGCACCGCCGTCGTCGTCGACCCGAATGCCTCCGCCGCTTCGACCTCGTCGCCGTCGTCGTCCGTTGCCGTCTGCCTTCGTCCGAGCCCTCGATGAGTTTGCCGCGTCGCCCTCTACACGTAGGTGCTCTCCGTTTGCGCCGCCGCGCCGCCGTTCGCCGGCGAGCGTGAGTTGCTGAGCCGCCGCTGGTGATGACGTCATCGCTGACATCAGCGCCGCGTCACCCGTAGACCCGCGGTAGATCGATTCGATCTCGGCCGTTCGTTTTGGATAAGATTAGATCTCGACCGTCCGTTCCGTAGACCGTCCCCGTGCACCCGATCCACCGTAAACCCGAGCCCGCTGACGCAATAAATCATTTTTCTTTTTCAAAAAAAATTCTTTATTGCGTCATAATTCAATTAAAATCTATATAAATGATTTAATCCGATTTAATCTTTAAAAATTCATAACTAATTCATCTTAGCTCGAATTTAGTTGGTTCAAGTCTCTAAATTTTTCTAAAATTGAGATCTACATGTTAAAAATATCCACATGTACTGTTCATGATTGTTTATATGCTGTTTTGGTGATTTTGCTCTTTTATGCCTAGATTCCGACGTTCCTGGAGAGTCCGAATTTGCAGGAGAAGATTTTGAAGAGTTCCAAGGCCAGCAAGGCAAGTTACACAGATCCCAAACAACCCTTTGAGCATGTTGATTCCATTTAAAGCTATTGTTTCTATTCAACTATTGCATTTATTTTTGAATGTCATTGGGTGGGAATAACCTATTGCCTTTGTTATAGCCCTTTGTTATTGATTACCTATTCTTTGTCACCTGGTTAATAATTTGATTAGCTAGAACATTATATGGTTTTAGCTAAAGTAATTAGGATGCTTAGCCATACTTAGAGACACTAGCTCATATGAATGGGATGATTAATAATTCACTATTACTTAATGATGGCTTAATGATAGCTCATGATGGTTAATCATGATAGGTTGATTAATTAAGATGCCAACTAAAACTTGATAATGGTGGGTTGTGAGCACATGGTTTTGATGGTCGTGCTCATGACAGTTAAGGACCGGTTCACGATTTTCGGTTATGAAACATTAACCGTGCCAACCACAAGCCAGCGTGGGCAACGACTTTACTTTTTGTATAGTATGGTTCATTGTAGAGCACCAGACTGTGAAGTGGCGGAGATAAGCCCACGGGGGTCGCTGGGGAGTCCATGCCTTGTTTGTAAGGGGGTGATTATGATCCAGAAACGGTGCACTGCTTTGAATTGTGTTATGCGAAGGGTATTGTCACAATCTCTATTCGGGTACTTGTTAAGTATCGCGACGCATGGTTGACATGATGTTGAGGTTGTGTCTTGTAGGTACAGTGGTACACCTCTAGCCAGAGTAAAACTATTCGAATAGTCGTGCCCGCGGTTATGGGCAGGTCTAACAATGTCTTTCGTGATTAGTCTCATATTTCACACCATAATAAATGATGATGAAAATAATTTGTTTAGCTCCTGGTTTGGAATGGTATATTCCTGGTTTGGAGTTAGAACTGTGCAACCGGGATTGGTTGTTCATAATGGTTGGGCCTATGCAACGGGTGTGTTGTATAGCGTTGGATTAATATTGTTTAATTAAATACTTTACAGTTTTATTAAATTCTAAAGTATTCATTAAATGCCATTTATGCAAATGAGACTATATTATTCCATCCTTTGTTATCCCTTGCATTTGTATATTTTCTGCGTGGCTTGTTGAGTATGTCATATACTCACCTTGCAATCATTCATCAGAGGAGGATTTCTACAGTCATGCCGAAGGTGTGGAGGATTAGGCGTAGCCCTGGTCAAGCTGCTTGTGGGATGGAGTCGCCTGCGCTGTTTATTTTATTTTCCGCTGCTTAGAACTTTATTGTTTGAGATGAACTATCTACCTCTGTAATGACTTTATATTCGCTTATTAATTAGAATATTAATTGCACTCTATTATCGATTTGTTATTGTGTGCCTCGGCTGATTCCTAGACGAGGGTCTACACACATGTAAGCGTTTGGAATTTTGGATAGAAATTCCGGGCGTGATAAGATGGCGCTCCTCCATCTTCAACGACAGTCGCCGAAGGCTCTGCTCCCTCTTCGGCGGCCATATCCGCCCCGGTGTCGCTTTCCTTTCGCCTTATAACCTTCTCCTTTACGACTTTCTTCGGTGGCATTCGCTCTTAGTGGTTTCGTTCGAAGATCCCCACGATCGGCGCCAGCTGTTGTCGAAACGACAACTGCATATGTCGAAAGACGTGGTTACTTAACAGTGATTGGAAAAAGGTAAAGTGTATTGATTAGAGAATTTCTCTTGGGATCCCCCCATTACATGGCCCTATGAGACTATTTATAGCCCCTATTACAGGTTCTTACTACTAGGGTTTTGGTTATACAGGGGAATTTACATGGTTACCCTTATGAAAGGGACATTTACAAGGGTACATAGTGTAATAGAGGTTCATGGAATCCTGATGGGCCGTTAGGCGATTGTCGGCCCAATGGCCCCTAGGCTTGATGGGCCGGAAAAGGCTTCTTCGGCCCTCGCGGGGGCGAGCTTGCTTTGGCGAAGTCGTCTCCCTTCGGCATATACTCTTCGCCCTGTATCCTTCGCTCAAGAGGCCTCCGGCTTGGCAGAGTACCCGCACGATCCTTCGCCTCTCGCCCGTGTCCTTGTTCCATAGTCTTCGCCTTGGGGGGGAGGGGGGCTTCGCCCCAACTAACTTTGACGTCTCGGGCTTGGATCCCCATTCCTCGCATAGCTTTCGGCAGATTTTGGTCGAAGTGCCTCGTACCATACCGCCAACAATACATATATATACTCTTCTAATCAAGTGATCAAATGAGCCTAATCCAACTATCTAAAATCTGTGTGATTTGGACCCAAAAATCTGTCGTGTGATGAATAGCTAGTCCCAGTTTGTAGAAAAAAATAGTAACATTTTCAATTCAAGACATATTAATTATAAAATATATATTCAATTATTGATATGATGAAGCTAATTTAGTATTATAAATATTATTATATTTGTTTATAAACTTAGTTAAATTTGAAACAGTTTGACTTTGACCAAAGTCAAAACGTTTTATAACGTAAAACGGAGGGAGTAATATTAATTATTATTATTACAAACTTAATTCTTATTTGATTTGTTTAATAAAATTCTATATACAAAATATTATTTTAACCAAAGCACCATTTAGTGTTTTGGAAAGCCTGCTCATGAAGAATGAGAAAGTTGTTGTTCTAACAAGCTAAAACTAACGGAGCCTAAGTCCACTCCGACGGTAATAAACCTCCGTTATTTCATAGGTGGCGCTGCTAACTTTCGGTATAATGTTTAATCATTCATCTTATTAAAAAAATCAGTGTAGATATGAAATACTCCCTCCGTTCCTAAATATTTGACGCCGTTGATTTTTTTAAACATATTTGATCGTTCATCTTATTCAAAAAATTTAAGTAATTATTAATTATTTTCCTATCATTTGATTCATTGTTAAATATATTTTTATGTATACATATAGTTTTACATATTTCACAAAAGTTTTTGAATATGACTTACAGTAAAATATGTGCTAAAAAGTTAACGGTGTCAAATATTTAGAAACAGAGGGAGTATAATTCATATTTAAAGTTTTTTAATGGTAAAACATGTCATAACAAAATAAATAGTATTTATATAAATTTTTTGAACATGATAAATGGTCAAACATCATCTTAAAAGTCAACAATATTTAAAAACCAAAGAAATGGTGAAATGTCATCTATTAAAAATCAAAGAGTACGATATTTGACTTGCACTCCGAACCACCGTCTAAAATAACTCAATTACTAAATTGTTTTTCAATTTAAGGTTTGTTGGTTTCGGAGCCAACTTTCGCCTGCCAATATAAAATTTGTGCTATTATAGGAAAAAATTGGTAGCATACCAAATACTTACGTGATACTATTAAGTTATCAATATTTTTGTAGGGCACAAGTTATCTTCAATCCAAATAAGCCCTTAACTTAAACTGAGAAACCTATTAATCGAATGTGTGAGGAAACTACAAATGACACCGAATATACTAAAAGAGATGAGGTCGTCGATATCATATATGTGGTGATAGTCACATGTTTTACGTGCGTGCGATGTACGAAAACCTATCATTGCGCGCTACACATTCATTTATTATGTAATTACCAATACCAGTACTATATAATTATTGATTGAAATTTTTAATTATTAATACCAGTTTCATTATGTCCTAAATTATTGGCCTAATTTGTTTTTCCTTTTTCATTCTTCTCTCCTCTTCTCTGTCTCTCTACTATTATAAAAATTTAAATTTAAGATGTTTTTGCCACTAATTTGAGCCGTCGCCTCTTTCATCAGCTTCATCCGATTCCCCATTTTCGAACGCGATGCTTCCATCGCTTCGCAGTCGGATAAGATTTATGAGTAAAACTAACAAGCTATTAACAAATTTAACTGGCACGGTTTGTGGGCAGCAACGATAAGAGCCCAGGGCCCAAGACACAGCTAGGGATGCGGTCGGGCACGACGGGCACGGGTAGTTACCCATGTCTGTGCCCGCGAGATAATTCATGCCCGCGGACATGCCCGTTACAACATGACGGACATTTCTCCACATGCAGAGACAGTCAACAATACAAACATTATAAGTTCAACAATAAGACAACTTCAAATGTCATACTTTAGCACAATTACACAATCAACAAACTTCAATTACACAAGTTTCCTCTTCTTCCTATTCAGCTTGTTTTGCAGTTGGGGATGCATCTACAGAAGCCTGTGAGGCTTGCTCACGCCGGTTGCTGCTGACCGGTGGAGTAGCACACTGGCTGCTACTGGCCGAAGTAGCCATTGGTTCAAATCACTACCAATCAAATCGGAAATAACAGATCAATGTCAGTAGGTACTAGATCGAAAAAATAAATAACTAGATCTAGAGTACGGGAGAAGGGGATACCTTGCTCAGCGCAGGGGAGGACGTTGCCGGCCGGAGGGGAGCTCGGCGGCTCGGCACAGAGGAGGCAGTGGCGACCGGAGGTGGGAGGCGCGACTGGAGGGAGGCGCGGTTGGAGACGTTGATGACCGGCCGGAGGGGAGCTCGCGCAGACGGGTAGGAGGCGAGGCGACAACGGCTAGAGGGTGGAGCCGCCGGCGACGACCTCCCGTGGCGCCCCTCCCAGCGGCGACCTGACCTCCCGCGCGGACCTCCCGTGGTGCCTATGGCACCCCTCCCGGCGGTGACCTCCCATGGCACGGTGGCGCCCCTCCCATGTCCGCCTAGAGCCCCTCCCGGCGGCGACCTCCCGCGTCAGCTTGGCGGCTGTGGAGGAGAAAAGTCGAAGAGAAGGAGATGCGGCGGCTATGAAGGGAAGAGAAGAAAATTCTAGGGTTTTTAGATGTTGGTTTTTATACTAAGTTGATTGAGGGCCACATGTCAGTTGATGTTCGCGGGTAAATGGGCGAAGCGGGCCCGTGTGCCCGTTTGTTACAAGTTTTAACCCAATAAGAAACCTATGAGTACTAAATAGAGAACAAACCCAACTCTATTAGGGTTTTTATCCACAGGTAAACGGGCAAACAGGTCAAATTGCTATCCCTAGACACAGCCCACGAAGTCATTTGCACGGCCCACCATTTGCTACGTGTGCAGGTTATACAGAGACAATAACACATGGTGTGCAGTTATACGTGGAATTCAAAGTATTTCTTTTACCAAATTTTCACTTTTTCCCTACTAATCTTTACCTTTATTTAAAAATTTAGAAAAATATCATTATCTATTAAAAAATCGAAATGTTTATGTCTGCTTGTCTGTTTCATCTATCGCTACCGGTGCGGTGCGAGATAGGATTGGATCACTCCCGCGCCGCCACGCGTGTGTCCATCTCATATCACACATACGATAATGAGTCTATCGTGCGCCTGTCTCCATGCCAGCAAGAGAAAATAGAACCCCGAGCTACGCATATGCATAACGCCCCTGATAGTTCGACCACCACCATCCAGGCATCCACTGTGAGTAGTGTGTGTACATCGCACATATGATAATCACATATTCACGTCGGGCAACTGAAAGAGAATAAGTACATACATAAATCTCACATCAACAGCCATGATTTTTTTTCTCTTTTAATGAAAGGCATTAGTCTTGCTGTTATGGAAATCAAGGGTCAATTCACTCTATGGACCAAACTTATGGTAGATGTCATACAAACTAGACCGCATGACTTCACCCGTTGTAATGCACGGACATTTCTCTCTAGTTTGATAAAAAAAATGTCAGATTTAGCCATCAACGCTTGCATCTAAGCTATAGTAACTAGATCATGTGCTCGAACTCTCCAGCTATCGTAATATATATTAGTAGTACTAGAAAATAAGCATGGCGAAGCCGATTGGGGCACTCTCTAGTTAACCTGTGCATACTATAATTTTACTCTCCATTTCAAATATAGTAACTTCTAGCGTGAAATTTTTGTTCTAGAATATAGCAACTTCTTAACACACTCTCTAGCCTCTCTCTTTAAAACCAACAGGAGCACTAGTATTTCATTGAGAGAGGAGAAAAAAACACCATTCTTCTTGGGTTTAGGTGAAACAAAGCGGGTTCACAGATATTTACATCAGGGACCTCGTCTTAAGCATTGGGGAGGCTATCCAGGAAGAAATTTTAAGTTTTTGAAACACCGTATATATGTAACTTTTACTTATATGTGATCCCCTAACTTCCGCTGAGCAACGCCCTCCTAGCTTGATTAGGTAGAAAACATCATCGGCGCTGAAATCTTCATTGATTACACCAAACGTTGGAGATCCCTTTCTACCAAACGTTGATTACACTGATAATTACATGTCATGTTAAGGTGGAGGTTATTTGTCCATGTTGCAATTGTTGCATACATCTTTGTAGCTGAAGTGTAGTTTTTTTAGAGGAGTAGTTGAAAGATGAGGCATGTGGTCGTTTCCTCATGATGATCGTGAAACAGGTAGGTAACGTTGTGTGGCCATACGTTAATTGAATGGCGTGCTAGGTTGTCAGCGGTTAACCTACTGGCTAATTTGAACCAATCATAACATCTTTCATTTAATTTATACACGTATTTTCTCATCTCAACCGATCATAACAATTGTATGTAATTTCATCCCTCTCTTTAGTTCCCATGAAAAGTTGAGTATAATTTTGAGGAATAAATCAAAGATGTTAGTATAATAAGATTTTCTTTAATTTCGCATAATATTGTTTAACTTTAACATACGAATAGATAGATTTTGCTCTCGATAAGGTTTGCTCGGCTCTGTTGGTGTCCCATGGTGTGATACGTCTTTGTTTCTTTTTCCTTATTTACATCTAGGTGTGCCATTTACCGTTTCATCAGGTTGCTCATAGCTTGTTCTTTCTTTTTTTTCTCCATCTGATCTAGGCTCTACCATCATGTGTAGATGCCGGTTTGTTTGTTAGTTGGAACTTACCGCTCCCTGTGCTTCTCTTTGATTGGCTGACGCAGTGGTTAGCTTAGTAAATGAGGATGAGTTACTGCCTTCGTGTGATGTAGCAAATAGTAGTACCAATGGAGTATCAATCTTCTCTATCTTTCCACTGGTCGCTGTTTCAGGCTGCCGTCGGAAAGCAAAATTCTTTGGCATATCAGCCAAACTTCGCATTTTCATTTCAGCCAAAGAATTTCCATTGATTGGCGTATTTCTTGATGTTGGATCTTCTGTGGCTTAATGGTTGCAGCTCTCAATTGATAGTAGCATTCATATATGATGGGTTTAGGGATTAGCAAAAAAAAAATCTCAATTGATGTAAGTTGTGGAAGTAAATTACTATCATAATTAATTTGTAGCAATATATATTTAGTAAGCCATATAATCTCTCAGTTGCTACATGTAGTCGTCATCCTCCTCAGGGTTGGGTTCCTCATCATCATCCTATGGTGAGTGAACATACATCTCGTCAAACTCCTTGTCGTTGATGTCCGGATTGTCGTACACCGTATCCAACACAAAATTATGTAGGGCAAAGCATGCTGTAATTTTTTTTGTTTGCCACTTCGTGTTATATGAGGGTATGCCTCTTAAAATCTTCCACTTGGTTTTCTAAGCATGTAGATAATTAAAATTCTCTTGCAAGAGTTCCGGATTGCAGCCACGAAAATCCGGCACATGGTACCATTCACCCCTATATGGAGCCATATATCGTGGAGCCAAGGCATATCCAGTATCAACCAAGTAGTACTTATCTGCACAACAAGACATATATTTCAGAAACTCGGCCAATTGTAACTGTATTAAAAAACACTTGCACATACTGTGAGGTGGGTGAGGAAACAAATCAGATTTGTCTCCTCTCACGACGCGGTTGAAGACAGCCATGTCATGGCATCTTCCCTTCATCCCAGCGGCAACAAAAGTGAAGCGCATGTCAAAGTCACATACGACCATTACGTTTTGACTAGTGTATCCATGCCTACACATGTAGGTCATGCACTCCTCTTGTGGAATGATGACTGGGATATGGGTTCCATCAATAACTCCAATGCAATTGATGAACTGTGGGGAAAACCTAGATTGCAACAACCTTCCATGCACACCACGAAAAGCAGGATCACGTGGTTGGATGATATCATTGGAAAATTGGAGCATCACTTTCAAAATATCCCTAAATTTCCGATGCACGGTGTCTGGTGACCTTTGAAAACGCTTGCAAATCTGGCTTTGCGATAAGTCGAAATTTCTTTTTAGGTTTGTGAAGTTGCTTTGCCATCAATCTTTCATTTGTGATATGTGCAAATCTCTTTTTATATTTTCCCACCCTTGTCGATTCATATATTGACCCTCCATGTTCATCTGAGCCTTTTCATGAAGGCATCGATCAAGGAATGCCTTGGTCATTCGTCGAGTCCAATTGGCGCGGTCGTGGCTCATCTGCATAGGCTGAAGTAAGTGGAAAGGTAGCATGTGCAGTGGGTTGTCTACTCTCAATTATACATAGTACATATCGAATTATTGGGTTAATGTATTAGTTAAGTGACCACATCATTTCTTTCGAATGAAAGTAGTGAATACATAAATAATATGTGTTCACACATACCTACCTTGCCGTGTTGCAAATGAGCAACTGTGGAGTGCAAAGCGTATCGTCGTTGGTTTATCCTAGAGCACGATGAGGAAGATGATGTTAGAGATGTGCGCGGGCGTTATTTTTATTTTGTAGTACCTATTTGGCATGTAATTCATCATGTTGAGCGTGGGAACTGAGAAGTACTAAAAAGAAAATAATCATTCGGCAAATCATGCATGTCATTTTCTTTCTTTTCCATCCTGACCAAGAAGTAATATAATCAGATTAAGATGTCTCAAGAGACATGCAATAACTTAACTTATGCATCCATCTCTTGGAACTATCTCAATTTGTTGTATGTGGCCTTCCAGTAGTTTCTCATCATCATATCCAAAGATCGTGTAGATTTTGCCATTTGCACAAAACTATGCATGTTGAATTGTAGTTGTGGCCACTAATTGTACTCCTTCCATCCCAAAATATAAAACTACGTATGTTGCATTGTAGCCGTGGCCACTAATTGTACTCCCTCAATTCCAAAATATAAGGTACAACCGACCAAGAAATAATTGTTGGTTGTGCCTTATATTTTTGGTATGGAGGGAGTAGTACTTAATTCATTTAGGAATCATCCTTTCCATCATATTTATATGCTGCCATTACTTATGTCATCTACTCTTAAAGCAAAAGGTGTTTGCTTCACTCCACATACGTCCATAATTAGTAGACTATACACACTGACACACTGATGATTCAAAAGAATAATGTTTCAATTCGCCTAATTTGTGGAGCCCTATTAGATCAGATGCATATTATGATCATCATCAATTACTCATACATTCATGCTAATGATTATCATCAATTACTAATACATTCATGCTAATACTTTGAAGTATTCTGCGTGTTGTATTAAATTACTTATCATTTTTATTTTTTAGGAGCTGATAAGGAGTATGTCGTGGCACAGGGGTTGAGTCGCCAGGGGGAGCTTATCAATGGGTTAAATGCCAAAGTTGTAGCCGTGCTCACGAAGATTGCAAAGATCCGCAGAGAGATTTTGGTCCGAACACTGAGCCACGGGTGGTAAAACCGCAAAGCTTAGAAAATAGCTTCGGTCTTACTATGTGGTTTCATATGGTGTCGTGAAGCCTAAATATAAAACAACTTTGGTCTTGGACCGTCAATAATGATTTTTTCTTAGAATTTGGATACTTAATCGACCTGCTTACTTCTATTATGTTAATACTAATTACTATTGTAGGAATCCTGGTTCTTATTTATATTGATGATTATATGTCTCACGATGAGGGATATTTAAGATTTTTTTTATTTATATAAGTTTTTTCAATACTTCCATGTTGCTATTGGTTATACAAATTTATTTTTTTAGAGCTTGTGGAATGTGTTCCTATTTATTGATATGCTTTTGGTTTACACGACCAATTGCAACGAGTGCTTGTCAAAACAAAACTTTGGTAACTAATCGTCCTATCGATGAGCTTTCCAACTACTAGCAGATGCGAATGATAAGAGGGACATTATAGTGCCAAATCCTTATGTATTATTTACTACGGAATTATATGCCATTATCTGATCATTAGAATTAAAGTAATATAAACTTCCAAATACTGTCATATACTTTGATATCTTTACTTGATGAAACTACAGATGAAGCTGTTTTTGTAAGGTCAAGTATATGATGCTAATGAACCATGTTAGAAACTGCCAATGAAGTTCATTCGATGGTGATGAACGTTGTTGGTATTTCTTACGTTCATAAATAAAATCCACAAGTGCACGGATATACCGCTGTAACACTTCACCCAGAAGTATTCCAATATATAAAATTTTCACTGGGAATGTGTGTGTTTAGCTCTTCTTTAGGTTTATCAAGGATACAAGATATAAATGTAGGCCAAAGGGTAGAGATGATATTCTAATGTGGTACAGTGTTGTTTGGAAGGCTTAACTTTAATTTTATCGCTATGCTTCAGGCACTGCTCACTACTACCAGAATGCGCTCTACTCTGTACCCGACATGGAGGACTACAATGATTTCGAGGGCTGTCACCACCTCTACACTAACCTCTAACGTACGGTGGGATACGTAGCCAACAATAGTAATTAACTATCTAGACACCATGTCTATGCAATTAATTACTACTCTAGCGTTAGCTAAACACTAAAGTAATCACTTTTTCTTAATGAACGATAGTGAACAATGATCCGCGTTAGCTAAACACTAAAATAATCACTATTTCTTAATGAACAATAGTGAACAATGATCCAGCAAGCTAAATAGGACCTAACTTAGGCCCTATTTGTTTCAGCTTAAGATTATTGAGCCATATTACTATAAGCTGGATTATAATAGCCGACATAGTATAAGTTGTTAGCTGTTTGTTTATCTGGATGATAAGTTATTTGTTAGCTGTTAGCCCTCAATAATATAAAAAAAGCACCTTTAGAGTGGATTATTAGATTATAGTAATATGGCTTATAGATTGTAATAATCTATCATGATAAGCTATCTGTTTATTTCAGCTTACTCCTAATAATACAGATTATAATAATCCTAACCTGAATCAAACAGGGCCTTAAGAATACCACACAAGATAAATCTCAATGACTTGATTAAAATATTCTCAACTAGAGCAAAGCAATTGCTAAGGTACAAAAGAACAATTCTGGAACTCCTCCAACTCTTTCTTTCTCACTCTCTCCCTTAGTCTAAGTATAAATAAAAGAATACAAAGAGCCTTATAATTCAGCTCACATATTGGTGTGTTGTGAATGAGGGAAGAGAGGGGTATTTTATAGGCCAAGAGACGCCTTGGGAGTATGTAGATCCTAAGCATCTAAAGAGCATCTTCACTCTTGAGCTGCCAAGTGTCCCTCCATGAGCTGCCAAGTTCCCCTCCATGGCGGTTTATTCCGATAGAAATGATCACAATCGCCTTGGATAGTCGGTAACTACCGACATGTGAAAATCGAGGGCTAGATGGGCTGTTCCTGAGTTGGCCGACCCCTGGTTGGCCCTTCTGGCCCTTGGTTTTCTTTTGGGCCCTAGTAGGTACTTTAGTATTTCTGTGGAGTTGGCCCATTTAATTATGATCTTGTTGGGCTTGTTGGCTCAAAACTCTATGAGCTTGGATATGGAAGTAATATTTCCGTCCCTCATGTATAGTTCATCTCAACTTTGGTAGTTTATCACCTGCATACAAATATACACCGACACTAGTGGAATTTGTTAGAAATAAACCTTACCACTATGTTGGATGTTTTATATTTTCAGATTTATGCAGGTATTGACGGCGTAAATTTCGTATTTAACAGCCATCAACAAACGCGTTCAATCCTTTGAAGTACTTATATATGGTTGATTATGGGGGGCACGATAGCCGGTTGCCTCATAGTAGGCCTTTTGGGCCGCACCGTACAGGGTGGGCAAAGCGCCCCAGGCCCGTGTGGTTAGTTTGTATTTGAGGAAAGTAATATTAGATAAGGGAATCAATTTTGTCCCTTGTAATTAGATTACCATCGGACCGCCGACCGCCCTAGCTCTATATAGGGGGTGCCAGCATAAACCCTAAGGGGTTAGGACTTTTGCATCTTTTCTCCACATACGTGCCGTCGGCTACTCCATTGCTGACCCGCGCACTTGGACACAGATCCAATACATCTCAACTGGACATAGGGTATTACCTCTCGACAAGGGCCTAAACCTTAGCAGGTGAGTCCCGACGTCATCTGCTGACGTCGTCGGGACTCACCTGAACGCATCTCGGGCCGACGTCACCAGATGCGTTCAAGCACTACGTTTCCCCGCCGACCGAGTTCCGCTCCGGATATCTCGACTTCATCACCAACAAGGCCGGCGTCCTCAAGCTCGCATCTCCTTCAGCTACAAACCACCGGCCATGGCCTCTCCAGTGCCGATCGGCATCCCCAACTTCGCCGCCCTCACCATTAGAATTACCGTACTACCAGTGGCAAAAGAACGGCAAAAAAAAAAATGCCAAACCAAGAATGTATCTAACCAAATGTTAACTCAAAAAGTTGATTAGGCACCACACAACAACGCCGTTTCAAAATGCACCACACAACAACGCCGCTTCAAAATGTCGGTCATATTTGTGACATGGCAGAGAGAACACGGAAATGTAAAACCTGAACAATCGATAATTATTCAATGGCGTACAGCCAAGTGCAAAGAAGTATAACATTCACAAGGCACTTATAGTTTTAATTTGCCTTTCAAGGGTTTTTACAGTTAAGCGAGGACATCTACAACCACCGCTTAGAATTTCAACTCTAAGGTATTTTTCAGTAGCAACCACAGATCTAATCATCTTTCAAGCTAAACATATCCCTCTGTTTCTTTATAAAAAAAGAAAGGTGAACATATCTGTACAAAAATTCGTTGGCACCAGTTTTACAACTGGAAGCAAGTGTGAAATGATTACTGCAGCAAAAGTAACCGGCCCGTTTCAATATGAACTCCATGCCGCTCAAGGTTGACATCAATAGTAAACAGAGATCTGTGAGTTAACCTGATGGTTCATGACTGCATGCATGTGTTCATAACTAAAATGCAGCAATAGTATCTACTACTTCCTAAGTATTTAAAATCATAGACCAAGAAACCACGCTGCTCATCATTTCCCCAAAAAACCTGTGCCGTGATATACCTGCAAAAAAAGTATATATCTTAGTAGAGAGTAGTACTCCAAGCATAGACCAAAGTTCAATCACTTATCAGATACCGCAATAAAAATGAACATGCATCTCAAGTTCTTAACAAATCAATATATAGAAGCTCATAGATGAGTTGATCTTCGTCTTAAAAATATATAAACAAATTGATTGTGATAGTCCAAAATGAATTGCAAAGAGTTATAAAAGTAGCATCGAGTTTCCTGCACCAAGTCACAATAGTTCTACCAAAAAAATATATATATGTATTGAGGAAAGATGGGCAATCTATACATATTTCATCATTAGGGAGCAATTTCAGCTCCTATACAATGTACTCTTTGCTCTATTATTTTACTAAGTGTTGAAACACCATGTAATAAAGGAAATTTATCCATAAAAGAACAAAAGGCTTACCTTCAATACAAGCCCTAAGTAGCCTAATGAAAACAATGATAGTACACATAAAAGCAATCAGAATAAACATAATAAAGTTTCTGAATAATAATTCCACTGTATTTTTCTTTAAAAAAATGATGCTTTCTCATGTCATCACATATTCCAAAGCTTTGAGCATAAATATGTTTTAAATAACCAAAGTCTTATATGTGAAAGCAATACTGCTAAATTGTTCACTAAAAATACTTCATGAAACCTTTTTTTTTTCTGTAAATATAACCAAAGGTTGATATGTGAAAGCAACACTGCTAAATTGGTCACTAGAAAAGTACTTCATGTGACAGCCTTCTTTAAATTCTACAAAAAGAAAACATCAAAGTAACATATTCCGTAGAGCATCAAAGGCATCAAACTAAATGGAACCAAGGGAGTACCTGCAAAGGAAGAGCGAAACTCTTCTACTAACAAAAGAAGAGGCCAAACCATTTATGCTACAGAAAGGCTCCGCAGTTTGTCACAGTGAGGTGTAGGGTAGTCCTTGGCCCATTGGCGCCTTTGGAGTTCCACATGACAGAATCTTCCCAGCATGCTCTTGTAGTCTTTAAAAACATACTGCTCAAGATTATCTCTAGAAGAACTTCCTCGTGGAAACTGCTGGTCGAATTCTTGTTTGCTGACAAAGTACTCCACCCCATGCTTTTCAGTGACTTTTGATATAGAAAAGTAGCTTGTCCTTTTAAGGGAATACTCAGGATGCCTTGCTGGAATGAAAGCAAACAAGATGAAAAACAAAACCCCTGCAAGGTGCACCAACATTGTTAAATTTATGCCTGACCCACCCTGAACCGGATGTTCCCGTCTCTGTTGTTGCTGTTGCCTCACTGTTCCTCTTGCTCTGTAGGCATTGTGAGACTGGAACATATTATCATGGGTCCCATAAAAGAACGACCTGAATATCTCATCTGGATCTAAGTCTTCTTCATAACCATAGAAGCTACTTCTTGCTTGCCTTTGTCGCCTTGTAGTTCTCTGCCTCATGACATTGGAATACTGATAATTAAACTCATGGTCCTCAATGGCACCTGTTTGATCATAAGTTCTCCTTGACTGATCATTGCTTAGGCACTTGAAAGCCTTGCTGACCAACTTAAATGCATCCTCTGCCCCAGGAGCCTTGTTCTTGTCAGGATGAACTTTCAGTGACAACTTCCTGTAGGCTTTCCTTATCTCTTCTACAGAGCAACTTCTCTCCACTCCAAGAATTGCATAATAATCCTTGTTCTTTGTGATGTTCCGAACCACTCTAACATTTTCCTCAGTGTAACCCTTATCAACATTAGAAGGACCAACAGATTCTTTACGCAAATTTTGGCTTTCACCAACTTCACCACTTCTAGCCCTGTATTGGCGTACAGCACCATCCAGGGTATCATACTTCTTGGGTGTGCCCAGCATATCATCAATCGGAAGGCTGGGGTCCAATCTTTGGGCAATTCGAAGGAATTTTTCTGCTCGCTGTCTATCTCCAGATGCAAGTGCAGTTTCTGCAAGTTTGACAGACCTCAAGGCCTCATCTTTGTTTCCATCCATGCCCTTAGTCAGCCTTTTTACAACTGGATCATATATAGGTAGGACACCCAAATTGAAAAACTTTTGAACAAGGACAGATTTTCTTCACCTATGAAGCAGATATCATTCAAAATCAATCGAAATTGGACTTGATGCCATAATACAAATAGCCGAGTAACTCTAATTCGATAGCATCTTGTACTTGCAGTGACACAAAAATGATATCTAATCAGAAGGTAGATCAACCCGAGAAATTAGGGTGTATAAACAAGTGGTATAACTAAGAGTACAAAAACTAAACCAACAAACTTAGGAATCTCTGGTAAAGCAGAAAAATAGCCAAAATTTTGTGAACAAAAGATAACCTAAATGAAACAGATTGCCACAATGCATAGTATGGAACTACCAGAGTACAACAGAATGCTTTGGTTGGATAAACCAACTGAGCATGGTCAACACAAGTGGCAAAACCATGCCAAACAAGCATGACTTTTAACTAAGAAATCTATTTACACTCCATTTCCACATGAACCACATCAACTTGGATATTTTGCTTATTTCACTAGGTAAAACTACTACGATGGACACAGTTGCGCTAGCACTTAAAATGCCTACACCTGCAAGAAATATCACATTTGGAGGAAAGCATTAAAGAATTAAGCATCATAAAGGCATTCAATGCTGAATTGCTGAGAAAGAACTTAATAGGTCTTAAAGAAACCAACAACCACTTGGATCAATGAGCACAAGACCAGCTTCCCTAGGCATAACCCCCCAATGTAATAAAGAAAAAAGTTTGTGCTACCATCATCCAGGCAGTACAAAGTAGTGCCAGAGTAGCCGTTTCAGCCAAATGAATTCATCCCAGAGAAAAATACTCGTTTGCTATGAAGTTGAGGCAGATCACATTTGCCACAAAGTTCATTGGCATGTAAAAATCCGACATAATTTAGTGGGAATCAACTCATTTGCCACAATGCCATGTGAAATGTCAAATTTTTCCTCATCTTCGTTATGTGTTAATCTCTCTCCTCTACTGCCGGCAACCGCTGCTCCCCATCTTCATCTAGCACCTAGCTCCCTCTGCTGGCGCACCGCACACACTTTCCTCTACCTCCAGCAGCCGGCACACGCTTTCCTCTACCTCCGGCTGCCGGCACACACTATCCTCTCCTTCCAGCCACCACCGCACCCCAGCTCAGTTTGTCAGCAAACACACCCAAAGCTCCAGTCTCCACCAACAGACAGCTGAAGCTAGTGGCACGCGATAGCGATCAGACCTATGGAACACTACACATGCTTGTGGCCGGAGATGAGCTAAGAGGAACAAGATTGGGGCAAATTTGCATCACCTGTGGCAAAGGGGTGTATAAACTATTGAGGAATTTTTGCAGGCCAACGATTTCATTCATTGCAAATGTGATTACACACATCAACCCCTTCGCGAAGGAACAACCAATTTTTCTCCTATCGCAACAACATGAACCATCGAACTAGACAGACAGGCTCCACGTGTACTGAAATACCCCGAATCGTCAGCCAGCAGCGACCAGGGAACACGATGGACTCCTAACGGCGGGATCCTCGCAAAAACCCTAGGTTAGGGCCGCGGCTTGGGCGCCGCCTCGTGACCAAGCAAGAAACGATAATTCCCCCCAAGTCGCGGCGAGGGAAAGCCAACTAACTAATCGAAGATCCGGAGCGGGCTCTGAGCCCATCTACGGCGATTAAACTTACCCCGGGTCGGAGAGATATCCCCGGCACGGCTAGTCGGCGACGGGGAGACGAGGACGACGAGGAGCACCGCCGCGGCGCCGCCGGAGCGGGGAGAGAAAGAGGAGAGAACTGCGCGGTGGCACTTTTCCACGGAGCCCCTCGGATTTCCTCTTTATTTAGGAGCGCCCATCGAGCCGAGACGAGAGTGCGTGCTGGCCGCGTGGGACACTGCGCTGTGGGGCCCACTAGCTGTTTGCCGCTGACGGGTGGGGCCACGCAGCCAGCGCGAATCGTAAAGCACGCGGACCCCGTCTCCTTTTTCATACATATCCTCCTCTCGCTCTCGCCCCGCTCGCTTCCGAAGCTTCTCGAGCCCTCCTCCTCCGCCGCCGCCGCCGCCGCCTCCGCCTCGCCGCCGGCGCAGAGTCGCAGGTTAGCTCCGTACTCCGCTCCCCTCCCCGAACCAAGCCGACGCCGCTGCTGGAATCCTAGTACTCCTGCGCGAGTTCTAGCGTGCTCTCTCTCTCTCCCGTCCCGTGCCGTTGCGTCCTCGCGCTTTAGTTCTCTCGGTTGAGCGAGTGCGCGAGTGTTCTGCTTGGTTCTCCGGTAGATTTGGTAGCCCGCGATCATATCTCCTAGGTTTTTTTTTTCCTTCGGTTGAGCGGGGCAGCAATTGAATTCGTGGTCGTCAGGGTTTCTGAGAGCTGGAGATGCAGTGCTATGCTTGGTTTGTTTTGCTGTTTGCGTGTTATCGTTACGTGGCTTGACGCTACGGCCATTGTTGGATTTGTGCGTGCTAATTTAGCTGACTTGATGTTTGTCTGTCAGGAACGATGAGCCGACGCAACAGCCGCACCATCTATGTGGGCAATCTCCCCGGAGACATTCGCGAGAGGGAAGTGGAGGATCTCTTCTATAAGGTGAGCCATGATTACATTACGGATTAGGCATGTGTGTGCCATGTAACAGTGTTATCCTCTAGTACTAAAGTGGTAGGTCAGTGCAAATTTTGTTTTGGTATCAGCGAGTACATCGTAGGCTGCTTTTAGGACTTAGGAGGAAGATATTTGGGGGCAATACTGCTTTCTTATGGAATTATAAATTTGCTATGTTGGGCCCTATGGTTTTCTGTTGTGTGGTTGGAGCATTTGTTAAATACTTCAATGTGAACTAGATATCTAAGTTGCGTCTTCACGCGACCATAACCTGTCTTTTATTTACAAATATGATAATGAATTGTTTGTAACAGTTACCTATGTTAAAATTTAATTCGTCTAGTTGCAGTTTTCAAATTCTACAATTGAATTTTGTTAAGGATTGAACTTTGGAGAGTATTTGGCCCAATTTCCGAGCAATTAGGTTGAGATATAGTTTTGCGTTATGCATATCAGTTTGTTTTTCTATTTGTTGGTTATGGATATATCTGTAGGTGATAGGTATTTTTTTTATCTTAATTATTCATTCTGGATCATTTCTATAACCGACACATCTGAATTTTAGACCTGCCAGTATTGTTTAGGACTTTTGTGAATATATGATTTATTATAGTTCTATTGACATAAAATCCATATAATACACATTATTCGTTATGTTTATTGGGTCTCTGTGGCTATGTAAAGATAGTAGTGATAATCATTTTTATGTGCAGTATTTTCACTTTATATGGATTTGATTTCGCTATATTTATTCATGTTTGTAATTGAATTTATGAACAAATTGAGATAGCAATCGAGGTGTAAGTGGTGGCCATGGATCGAAGTACTGACACGGGTGATGTTGGCTGAGGAAATATATTTCAACTTGACAGAAGATTTATCTTAATATGAGTTTCACATCTTGTTAGTAAAAGAGTTTATTTTGCTTTTCTTCTAAACTTGACCTAGGCGCACGGAGAAAAGAGGATGGAGTTTGGGCTTGCAGCTGTTGTAGTTAGGATGCATACCGATCCAATTAGGCCTATTTATGTCACCGAGTTATACATGCACCACAGCTAGAGGGTACTCTAGAATACTCCTACATTTTTAACAACTACTTAAGTTTCATCCAACGGTAAAGATTGTTTCGACTTATTTTGTCTTTAAGCGTATCTGACGGTTCATATTAGTCAGAAGAAGTGGCACATCCTGGTTTCTTTTTGAGATTTACTTTTCACTTGGAGAGATTCCACCAGTCGGTTGGGCACTTGGGCACCTCTTTGTTGTTGCCATCTTATGTGGTGAACTGGTGATACCGAAGGATGTTACTGGTAGAAGGGTAGAACAATGGCATCTTGTAATTACTAAATTTTCTGATATCTTTATTTTCTTGATTATTCATACAGATAGAGTTTAACTTTTTTTTTCATTACTTTTGCTTCTGCAGTATGGCCGTATTGTGGATATTGACTTGAAAATTCCTCCAAGGCCTCCTGGTTATGCTTTTGTTGAGGTAAGGGATTAAGTATGTTATGGTGATTACTTGCTATGAGCACATTTTCTATCTAGATTTTTGCTCATCTTTTTATATATAAGCTATCATTTTATTTAGTCATAACCTTGTTGTTATTTGAGGATTTTTTTTTGGGGTCTGTGAGCAAATTTAGCACATGAAAACCGACTACAGACATTAGCTTTATCAAAATCTAACCCGAATTGGTTGCTATTTTTTTTAACTTAAAAATGGTCCACACTAAACTGGATAGCCAAAGAAAACTGGACCTTTACTAATTCTTTTCGTATGGTCAAAAGTTGCCAAATTTTCATAAGATAAACTTCGGCTTGGCGTGAAATAAAACAACCCCTGGATAACAAACTTTAGAGGTTCTGTTAGAATGATGTGTTAATATGAACCCAGGAGTGTTTTGAGCTTTGAATAGGAGGTAGCGAGGTGGGTAAGCAGAGTGCTTGCATTCTACCCCTGAATGGACTTCTTCCCAATCATGGCAAGAGGACTCTAAGGCCGGCAAGTAGATGCAAGTTGATGATTAAATAAATTTCTTGGTTTGAAATGAAGCATTCTATGGAAGCTTATATTTCAGGCATCTCTTAGCAACCCATGCGATTAGTTTAGAGCTGAAACAAAGGAATATACTATCGCAACAATTTACCCCTAACGAACTCCTCAACTGGCTTGCCTGCTTGCTTATTACAATGTGTGACTACCTCTATATACCTTGCTCAGGGAAAGGAATAGGCAAATCTCTAAAATGGATAAGCTGGCAAGCACAGGTTTATAAACAGGAGTTAGGTATGGGTTGTGTGATTTGAACGATCAAGTAACGGATACAAGACATAGACCCCCTCCAGGTGCAAACATTATTGTTCTCATGCTTTGCCTTGCTACTACTTCTGTTCTTTTTATAGAACATTTTTTTTATCTATAATCAATATATCATTTTTATTATTTTTAGGAAAAGCAGAATGGGTAGATCTTGGCGCGCGCGCGTGCACACACACAAAAATAATAATAAAAAACTGGTTTAAGAATATCTCGCTTTTGTTATGTTGGACATGTGGTTCTCATTGGAAACTATGATGACTAACGAAAGTGCATAGGATGTGAGCAAGGGGCAACTTAAGGGTTACTATGGAGGCAAGAGAATGGAAACACCCAAATTTGTTTCTTTAAGCTCATGAGGAATTTGGGGGTGACGGAGACTGACAAAAAATGTAGGGGATGAGTGAAATTTGACATACGATCAATGAATTTTTCCATGTAGCATAAAGACAAAGGTTAGACAAACTTGCTTTAGAGGAAACTTAACAACTAGCCTCAAATCCAGTTTTGCCAAGTGTTGCTGAACTATCTAAAGAAATGCTTGTCAAAATTAACCTTGTGCAATCTGATTGTACATATAGCACCTTAGAGGCTAAGAGGACTTGATACTAACTAAAAGTGGTTCCTTATGCAGTTTGAAGACCCTCGTGATGCACAAGATGCAATTTATGGCCGTCATGGATATGACTTTGATGGCCACAGGTTGCGGGTAAGTGGATCTTGCATGATATCCGTTATCTTTCTTGAGAGAATACCAGGTGGTGAAGAGGGTAGTTCATATTTATTTATTTTTGTTGCAGCAGCAAAGAGGATAGTTTTGTTCTTTGTCGTAATGTTAATCTTATACCTTTATTTAGGTGGAGTTAGCTCATGGTGGCAGAGGCCCTTCTTTTGATCGATCAAGTAGCTATAGCAGTGCTGGGCGCCGTGGTGCCGCTAAACGTACTGATTACCGAGGTACGTACTTCTAAACTCAAGCTTTACAAACTTGATTGGATACATCAGTGTTCTTATTTGCTCTATTCATGGAATGTGCAGTTATGGTTACTGGATTACCTTCGTCAGCATCATGGCAAGACCTCAAGGTATTGATGCAGATGAACTCCCATACAATTATTCACTCTTCACGAATCTTGAGTTTTACTTCCATTTTCAGGATCATATGAGGCGAGCTGGTGATGTCTGTTTCTCTGATGTTTACCGTGAGGGTGGAGGTTAGTACTGAACACTTCTATGCTCTTCTGTTGCTGATATTAATTTTGGTATGAATTGGGCAGTAGTTTGTTTTGATAATACAGCAACCATTTAAGCTGTATTATCTTTTTCCATTCATGTTTCAGTAGTTCTTACTTCTTAATACTGAAATTTCATGTGTTTCAGCAACTATTGGAATTGTTGATTATACCAACTATGAGGATATGAAACAAGCGGTAAGTTTGAATTAGTTCTATGCATTTTACTTTCCAGAAGTGAACACTGCCATGTGCCATCTGGAAATTCATGTTTTGGTTGGTTCCTTTAATAATAGAAAAAGGGCACTTTGTGATATGCCAGACACCTACTTTCTCCCCAATCATGCATGTTCTTATCTTCCCGTGAAGATACACCTGACAAGCAGTTTTTTGTTACCTTACAGATAAGAAAGCTTGATGACTCAGAGTTCCGTAATGCATTTTCACGGGCATATATCAGGGTATGGTCATACTGGAAATGTTTCTGCACTTCATTTAACCTAATCTCAAGTTGAAGATTTACGTACTCATGGACATGTCTGTTAAAGGTGAGGGAGTATGATTCTGCTAAGCGCAGCCGCTCTCGTTCCAGAGGTAGAAGCCACAGCCGCTCTATCTCCAGAAGCAGAAGCCGCAGCCGCTCGATCTCCAGAAGCAGAAGCCGCAGTTATAGCAGAAGCAGGAGTCCAAGGTATGGTTTGAATCTCATAATGCTCAAATGAATTTGTTATGGTAACAACAACATGAATATTATTACAATGTGCTGTTTTTTCCTTCCAGATCTAGGTCTGCTTCTCGGTCTCACTCACCTGTGAAAGAAAGGTATGCACAGTTCCATTTTGATTTTGAATTTTTCAAAGTTAAGAAACTGAGTAGCTTTGGCATGTGTTATCTTCATATTGGCTATTGAAAAACTGCACATGATTTTTTAAGAAATGGACCCCCTCCAATGTTGATTATTGAAATTTGATTATGTAATTAGCCTATGTTATCCCATATCTCCCTCAAATAATTGCAAGAAAGGAAATGTCGTTAACTTAAATGAGTTTACTGCTGTTCTCTGCTTCCAGATCTAGGTCGGCTTCACAGTCTCGCTCACCTGTGAAGGAAAGGTATGCGTAGTTCCATTTCGATTTTGAATTCATAACATATTACATAGTACATGGAATGCTTTCGATTCATTGCGATGGTGTGATACTGAGATTCTCGGATTAATACTATGTTACAAAGTTAAGAAACTAAGTAGCATTTGCATGCGTTATCTTCAATTTGCCAAAAAAGAAACTACATATGATTTTCTAAGAACCCCTCCAATGTTGTACATTCAAATTTGATTATGTGATTAGCCTGTGTGATCCCATATCTATCTCTAATAATTGCAATACACGAAATATTGTAAAATGAAATAGGGCCGGCTCTTTATATTCTCATATAATTTGTCATTTCCTTTCTGGTTTGTACTTTAAATGTTATGCTTTCGAGATGCATTTTTTCTTCTGTACATGCACTTTGAGTTTCCACTCTCTGATGATTAAACATGCAGAAAACTGGATAGCTGTCATTTGTTGAAAATTTGCTCTTGTCTTTCCTAGATTTGGGACATGCAGCTATTTGGGTTGCGTTGGTAGGATATTGGATGCGTTGAGAACCAAAGGATGGTTTGGAACGTTGGATAGTTCTGCTGGCTAGTGACATACTGTATGACAAGTGGACTACAACCAGCGATAGGAGCAAGATAGGGCTGGCTCTAAACATATTTGGACTTATGGAGTGCATTTCGTGGTATAATTGAAGTACTATTGACTTACGCATTTCTATTCTCAAATGTAAACCTCGGCCTTGCACCCCTATTGGTTATTCTCAAACATAACCTCACCTTAATGTTGAAGTTTATTTCTAAATTACACTTTCTGATGAAATAAGTGTGTTTAGCGATTAGCTCTTTAACCAATTTGTGATCTATTGTGGCTTCACCTTCATTTGGAGGACTCGTGATTTTACTTATAAGGTCTGTCATAGTTTTTCAAAAGATGACATGTTACATGTACAGTGGAAAAAGGTGGTCCCTTTACCTATGCTCATCCAAAACACTTCTCCACATGTTTACTGTTTATTGCTCTCAATCTCATGTGTATTGATGTTACCATATTCACACATATTTTGATCAAACTGTTGTAATATCCCTTTACTGAGTAACAATTTCTTGGCTTTTGGAACATTTTGCAGATCACCATCAAGATCCCCACCCCCTGCTACTTCTGTAAGTTTTCCAAACAAGTAACTTATATTCTATAAATTTGTTCCATATAGTAACCATTGTCTCGTGCAGCCTCCTCGTGAAAAGTCAGCAAGCAAGAGCCCTGTCAAGAGCAGAAGTTTATCCCGATCCCCATCTCCTGTCCGTGACATTAACCAAAAACTCTGTATTTTTGTGAGCCTTTAATATGCTTGAAGTTTCCCATATTGATATGGTCAATGCTTCCTTTCAGGTGAAATCTGAGTGAAGATGGATGCACTTGAAGCCTGCCAGAAACTATTTCATGATTTGTGGAGCTGAGTTTCGGAAGGCAGTAGATTGTGGATTATGGTTTATCTGTTTCTGCGTTACCATTGTTGTTACTTTTCAGAAGAGAGCCGTGTTATTTCACTGTTGCTTGGTCATGTCGTAATATCTGTCAGAAACATTGCCTTACATGCTTAGCGTTTTACTTGCCATCACCAATCTATCAGACCTCGTAGCACATGGTGCTCGAACTTCATGCTATACATACAGCACTATGAACTCTGCTATATTCTAAAGCTCAACTATCTGTAGTAACTGCAGGAAGCCTTTGCGCTTCAATTATTGTCTTTTTACTCTAGTTTTTTAGAGCTTGTGCTTGTGTACTTGTATGCACCTGTTATGTTGTAATTCTACAGAGTGGTTTTCCTCGCTTAATTGTTGACATGTTTTGTCGTTCGGTGTAATTGTGCGACCACTGATGCGTGATATGGTCTTGCTGACATGGCTTGGCTTGGATTGGCTTGACCTACCCTAGTATTGTTGGTTTTGTTTCGTTCAATCCGTGATGACCTTCGACTTTATCCCGGTTGTCTTGATTGGAAGTTGTCATCCACGGAGAAGACGCTATGCTCAGCTGACTCATCCCATCTCGGGTGTGTTTGGTTGCCTGCAGTGGACTTTACCTCTTTTGTTGTAAAGTCTATTTTTAACCGCCAAACTTTTACTTTAGTTCAATTTTATTTTGAAAAATAAAACTCACCCTAGCCTTTCAAGACCAGGTGAGTTATACCCTAACAGTCCGTTTGGTTGGAGAGAGTTTTTAGGAAGGATTGGGAGTTTAGAGAGATGAGGCTATTAAGTGTTTTGTTTGGTTAGAAGATATGGGAATTTTGGTGGGATGGGGATGAGGAATTGAGGAAGGAACTCCCTCCTTTTCAATACCTGGGTAGGGGCAGTTAATTGAGAGGGAATTCCTCCTTTACTTTGTCTAAGTAAATCTTAGCCATCCGTTTTTATTAATGACCTAATCTCCAACTAAACTCACTATCAATTTCCATCACATCTACCAAACAAAATATTGGGATTAAAAATCAAATTCACATCTTAATCTCATTATCAATTCGCTCGTGTAAACTTCCAATCCCCTTCCCTCGAGTTACCAAACAAGCCATAGGTGATTTTCGTCATGCGAACTTTTTTCTTTTTTTTTTCATACCTAAAACCACCATCAAGATCAGAGTCGGGGTGAAGTTTGCCTGGTTTTGGAAGTGCAAACAATCAGTTTATTTAGCTTAGGGCGAAAGATAGACTTGGTAAAGGTTCAAGGGTTACAAATAGACTTCAACCTTTTTTTTCTTCGACTGTTTTTTTTCTTCGACTGTTATGTTTGTAATTTCTATTTCTAGAATTGTTTCAGCTAACATCCTGATCCACAAGGCAGAGCCCTCACCTAGCTATTATATCATAGACATGGATTTTGTTTAATATCATAATGAATTCGGATGGGGATAACTAGCTATATCATAGACAAGTATTTCGTTTGGTATCAATATGAATTCGAATATAAATAAGTCCATTTGATGCCCTAATCCTTTACTTTGTCCAAAACTCAATCTTTCAATACAGTGCATTTAACAACCTAAACTTTTAATACAGTGCATTTGACCCCTCAATCTTTTTCACTTGGTTTTCACCTACGTGACGCTGATGTGATGGTCTAGCCAACATAGAAATCATAGGTCATATGTGTTATTCTCTCGTCCCTTTAGTACTAGCTCCTCTAGCTTCATCCACTGGTGATCATGAAGGCAACATCACATAGTGAATGGTAGCTTCCAATGGCTTTCTCGATAGTAGAGGCTTCAACAACAACGCCATGTTTGGGACCATGATCATCCCCCTTATCGCTGCCGCCATGAGGACAACATTAGGGCAGCGCCAGTGCTAAATCCAGAATGTGGAGCTCCGGCTGATTGGAAAGGGAGGTACCTTGGCATCATTGATTACTCGGCTATCCTCCTGTGGGTTCTAGAAAATGCTGAGATTACCGCCGTTGCTCTATCAGCTGGGTCAGCAACCGTGGCAGGAGTTGGAATGGGTGCTGTCGGTGCAGTGGGAGTGGCAGCATTGGGTGCAAGTAGTATAGATGGCCATAAGGCCCGAGGCCTGATGGCCCGGCCCAAGCACACACGACCCGATTGGGGTCATGCCCGGGCCGGCTTGACCTGATAGCTGGGCCATGCCTGGGCCGATGCCTTGGTACGGTGGGCCGGCCCGGCACGGCCCGATCCAATGAGGAGGGAGAAAAATAGTTAGGGACTAACATTAGACTTAATGCAGCCATATAATTCACTGCCCAAGAGAGAAGGGATGCAAATAGACTTATTAATCATTCAGAAATGGCCCAAAGAAATGAGGGAAGGAAATTAGACTTCTTTTTTTACGAAGAAGCACGATGGACTGTCGTGCCTTCGAGCCGGCCCAGCACGCCCCGAGTCGTATTGGGCCGTGCCTGGCTCGATGCTTCAGCACATGGGCCGAGAGGGCGCAGCCCGGTGTATTGGTCGGGCCATGCCGGCCCGATAGATTCTGGCCCGAGCACGGCATGCCTGGGCCGTGCCGCTCAGATGGCCATCTATAGGTGCAACTGGTCCTGCAGCTGTTGCTGGTTTGACTGCCGCTGCAGTAGGGGCTGCTGTTGCTGGTGGGTTAACAGCAGAAAAGGGTGTGGCAAAGGATGGACTAACTGCTGCTGATCATTTAGGAGAAGATTTCTACAAAGTTCTGCTTCAGCAAGAACATTTCAAATCAACCACAGTATGCATTTTACTCTATCATGAATTATTATGCATATTTGGCAGTGTTTTTTTTCCTCTTTGTTAAATGTCGATCATTTATAGAGTCCAGTCAGTCTCAAATTATTTGTTATATATTCTACCCTGAACCACTGTTCTGCTGTGTGGCTACACCGAAGTTTGGCTATCCTAATTACAATATATGCCGCAACTTGGCATGATTAAAAGCTTCCTGTGATTTCTTAGCTGCAACTTATTGTTGCTAATAATAGTTTGGATATCTGTCCTCTTCGCCTCAGTTGAATATTGCATGATGATCTTCTGATGTAAATCCTGCTAACCTTCATTTTTTCTCATTATTGTAGGTTCGATCAATTGTAGAATCCTACCGCTGGTCTCCTTCTGTCTCCATTACACTGGACACTTCCATGCTTACTGTACTACCGTTGCTACCGAAGTACAGGTTAAGGAATGTCCCAGTGATTGAGCCTGATAAGCCAATTACTCACTCCGTTTCAAAATGTTTGACACCATTAACTTTTTTTAGCATATGTTTGACCGTTCGTCTTATTAAAAAAATGTGAAATATGTAAAACTATATATGTACATAAAAGTATATTTAACAATGAATCAAATGATATAAAAAGAATAAATAATTACTTAAATTTTTTTGAATAAGACGAATGATCAAACACGTACTAAAAAGTCAACGGTGTCAAAAATTTTGAAACGGAGGGAGTATTAATTAAGAACTTCATTACTCATACTGGTGTTGTTAAAGGACTTCAGCAGTTGCAAAGGAAGGGATTGGTTTGATTATATTTCAGCACTCCCTCTCTCGGACTTGGGACTTCCGTTTATGTCACTTGATGAGGTTATTGCGTCTCCCTAATCCAATTCTTTACTAATGAGAAATCATGTCCCCTACATTATCAAGATAAAAGTTATATCTCAAGCTGAAATGTACATTTTTTTCACTTCACTTTGCAATAGATTGGTAATTGAACAATGCTGTGCTTTCTTCAGGTTATCACTGCTAACAGTGGTGATCTAATCTTTTAAGCTTTTAAGGACAACAAAATTGGTGGTGTGCCTGTAGTAGAAGGTCCCAACAAGTTTCAGGTATCAAACCATCCGACTATTTGTTACCGCGTGAGTCATTTTTTAAATTTTGCATTTCCATGTTCCTAATGATAAATCTTCCATACATACAGGCAACTTACTGTCATGGAGTTCATGAAGACCATAGGCTCCACCGTTCTTGATTCAGGGAACGGCCTGGTGAAGCCACCTCTCACCTGTTCGCCTGACGCTTCTCTTGGCAGCGTGATTGACAGCATTGCATCAAGAATAACCCACCGGATATATACGTCGTGGACGGTGACTTCGAGGTTGTTGGTGTCGTGACACTGCGAGCACGAGACGTGTGATCTCTTGCTTTATCTATGAGCCTCCTCGTTATTGTGACAACTATTTGGCACCAGCCATGGATAATTAAGCTTGAGGACAAAGGTGCAGGTTCTGTGGACACAAGTTGAGCCTTTTTATGTAACGTGAACACCAAAATAACAGACTGAATTAGGGAGCATGCAGTAGCAACACTGATGTATTCAGGTTTAATTTGTGGTGTTCCTGCAGTGAAAGTGTGTAGAACAAGAGTGATGCTGTTACTCCATGGTCTCTTAATGTAGTTTGCTTTGTGTTACTTAATTCCTATATAGGGAAAAGTTAATATATCCTCAGTAAAAGTTCATCTAACACCTCATACTTTGAAGTCAGATAACCAACTCTATCAACTTCATAGTACTGTTCGTATAACCGCTAAAAGTAACTTTTATCTAATTATTTTATTCGGTTTTATCTAATTTTACATGTACAATAGATGAATTTAGTGACGTGACACTCCCACTATCCGAAAATAACTCTATTTTTAGTCTTGGGTGTTCAAACTAAGGTCGAGAGAAAAGACCAAAGTCTCCTTATCAACATAAAAATAGCATTCCATTCTGATGAATGGATAGATAGATAAAGGACATTGAAGGAGTAAAACTTAAAACAGTATTGATGAGTAGATAGATAGGTAAAGGTATTGAAGGAATAAAACTTATAACAGGATAAAAGTGAACTTATTTTTCATCAACAAAAAAACAGTATTACGAGTGTTTTAGAATAAAAGGTATAAAAGAAATAAGATTTATAATAGGCTAGAAATGAACTTATTTTAGAATAAACTGTTCAGGTTAGAAATGAAGTTATCTTTGGACCGAGGAATAAATATATTCAAGATATATGTCAAATTCTCCCTTAGACTCTTTTTTACACCAATAACGGAGGATCGATACAATGACAATAATCGAGGATCAAGGATTAATGAAGTGAAAATTTATCATCTTTGTTAACCAAAACCTTATTAAGTATCTGTATACGGAAATCAGCATGTCCAAAACAACCTCAGAAGTTATATGAACAATATTATGTAGTAAGTTGAAGCGTTTAGGTTAGGGTGTTAGATATGCTTGTATCCAAAGTTATATTTGTATGACGTTAGAACAAACTGAGATTGTGTGCCTTCCTCGGATTGAGATCCATTGACTTACTTCCTTCCAACTTTGAGTCACTGACATGTGGATCTACTCTGTCAGTGACCTA